GAGTGAAGCGTAGTTAAGAAATCATCCTACACCCAGAGAAAAAACTCGATCTATATAATAAATTCATTGTTCAATTTGATAAATATATCATTACTATTGAAACTATGATATATTTATCAATATGATAATTTTTTTTCTTGTCTAGAACAATAATTATTTATAAGAATAATTAATTTGTTCGTATTAATAAAATATTATCATAAACCCTTGATAAAATTTCTTTATCAAAATTGATTGAGGTTTTTCTTTGGGTGTATACAGAGTGATTTTTAACTTCAATGCGCACCTGAAATAGTATTGGTTTTACTATGAAGTGGTTTTTTTTTTGTCCGTTGCCACATTTTCCTGGCTTTCACCGAACCGATTTCTTTCAACGATACGTCAAAAGATCACAAATCGTATCTAGTCGAAGACATTACCCTCAAAAATTGAAAAAAATTCCCCGTAAATGGGGAAAACCACCAAAAAAATTACAAATTTAAAAATCGCTAATTTTCGAAATTTTTCAATTTTTTTTACTTAAAATTGCTATAACTTTTTTAAAAATAACCGAATCAATATAATTTTTTTTTATATAGATGTATGGTATCATTACCTTTCATTTAGAATATATTTTTTTTTTATATGTGACCCTTTACTTGCCCACAGGGGGGATTTAAAATGACAATTTTTTCAACTTGATTTTTGAAAATGTTTCGAAAGGTCTGACACATTTATATATATCTTAAATTAAAGCTAATGTAATATACTTTATCATGAAAAAAAAAAAAATTCGGACTTTATTTTATCTTCACGGTGAAAATGACTACCGAATGCTATTTTTGTGTGAAAATTATCGATTTTGTATTTTACATTTTTAATTTTATTATGCTATAACTATTTGAAAAATGTATGGATCAATACAATTTTTTCATGAGAAATAGTATTTATAATAACACCATTTCCCTTTATTTGAGGAGGGTTCAAATCTAAAAAATGCATGTAAAAAGTAGAACTTTTTGAACTTATCTTTTGAAAATGTTCCGGAAATACTGACACTTTTTTATATATCTTAAATTAAAATTTATGTAATGTAATCTATTATGAAAAAAAAAATGCGAACTTTATTTTGTCTTCATGGTAAAAATGACAATCTTATTTAAAAATATGCTATTTTTGTGTTAAAATTCTCGATTTTGTATTTTATTTTATTTTAAAACACCTTATAAAAGTTATTAATTCTCATTAGATTTTTATCTTATTTAGATCCCTTTACTTCAATAAACATCGATATAGTTTCCCCTCGTTTGATGAAATTTCTTATTCATATTAAAACTATTGTACTAAAATTCTCGATTTTACATGTTTAACTTTATAATGCTATAACTTATTGAAAAGTGTATGGATTAATACAATTTTTTTATGAGAAATAATATTTATATCCATCTTTCATTCGACATACTTTTTTTTTAAATAACACCATTTCCCTTTATATATTATAAATATATATAGATATTTATTTATTCATATATTATACTTATAAATCATAAAACTTGTAATCAGGATATAAATAAAGAAATATAAGAAATAATCCATCAATTTTTTAAAATTAAACACTATCTACAGATTTGCATCGAAGCATTTCTTATGATAGTGATTTTAATCACTGTCAGATATCATTATACTTGATCCAACTATGCCACAACCCACTACGACCCCACTGTACTGGGTTTTTTATCATAACCCACTCAATTACTCATAGATTAAAAATAATTTAAACATTTCTTTTTTATACCTTTAGTCACACATTAGTCTTGAATTATAAGCTGTTTAATACTTTTTAAATTCATCCCTTGTGCCCTGAAAGGGTGTCAACTTTGTTTTTTAAAATGGGAACACATATTTTGAATTTAATAAAGTATTTGAGGTTTTATATTAATAATAAATGGCATTTAAATTTTTAACATAACGTTATTTGTTTATTGGATATAAAAGTTTAAAGTGCATTATAAATACAGGTATTTATGTGGCTAGTAATTATACTAATCTTTCCTTTCAATAAAATATTAATATCTGTTTAAAATCTATTGTAAATCGATTGTACATATGTCTCTATATAACACCTAAGTATATCTGCTTGTATACATTATATGATAATTTGTAATAAGCTGGATTCATGAATTCTTATAAACATTTTCCATTGTCAATTACATTAATATAAAAAAATCATTAGAACAAAACAAACAAAATATATATTTCTGATATATTATGTCAGCAATAAGTTATTTATTTCAGAGACATAACTTAAAAATATATATATATACTTTTTTTTAGTAATAAAAAAAAATCCAAAACTTATTTTATATAATATTAAAATAGATAATATTACATAGTAAAGTACTAAAATATATTTGCGAACAATAAAAAACTTCATTTCACAATTCTCCCATTTTATTAGACAAATGATAATTATTATTACCAATCATGTTATTATTATTAAACAACTTTGAGTTATTATTTTTTAAGATATATATTTTTATTACTTTGTTTCATTGCTAAATGTTCAGTCAACCCAACCCACCCAACAGCCACTGTTAAATTTCTCATGACTATTTTATACACCCATATGATTCTAAGTATGATAGATAAATCATAATTATTTTTTTTACACCCATAACTATTCATTAACGTTCCTGAATACACATATACTTATATTTTGAAGTAGTTAAATTATATAATGTAACACGGTTTTTATAATATAGAATATAACTTTATATTAAATAATAACATGTTTAGAAATAAAAGTGCACGCTCAGTCTGTCTACCGGTCAGTCACGCAGTTAAATAATTGTTAGTAGTTATTAATTATTTATCACTTCAGCGCCCGACCATGTACAACAGCTTAAAAATTGTACATACGATGACTAAAGTTTTTTTGATCACACTCAAATTATAATAATTATTATTGTACACAAATTATTAATAAATAATGTAGCTGTATGTCATAGTATTATTAAAAGTATTCAGATTTAATTTTTTATCAGAATAAAACTTTTAAATTATAGATAATTATTTGAGTTTCCAAAGAATAAACAACTATTCTTTATATTGATTTGAATTTGAAGTAAATGTCTTCAACAACGTATTTTTATGTTAAATAGCATAATGTACTACCTAAGATTGTACAGTGCGATATTATTGTAAGATGCCATAAATCGAAATTCCTGATATTTCACATTTTGATATTATTCACCCGTAGTTTTATATAACCTATCTTAATAAGCGAGTAACTTGTATAAAATTTCATTTGAACTTAATATAAATGCCCAAAACAAAGTAGCCCATAATGTGACTCTTACAGATGATCTAAACACAGGAGCCGTTAATCTCGAAACGATTATTTTCGAGATACAGCGCTTATCCACTCACAGTGCGATAGGGTTAAGTAGTATTAAATTTACGAGGTTTAAATGTTAGTTATTCAAAAGGAGGATTAAGTAAATAACATCTTCAATATATTTATTTTTAAACTATTTATCGACATGCCATGATAAAACTTTTCACTAATATTGCGCTTCCGGCAACATTTAAAACAACTAAAGTTCTTTCGATGTCTGTCAATAAAAAGTAACACAGAATCTTTTGTGTTACACTATCGAGAGAAATAAACAACCTTACGGCTGTTCAAAAAAACTTTCTTGACGTAAGAAAATTAGTTCAATGGTCTTATTCTAAAAATATAAATCACAGTTGGCAAACCCTTATTATTTACGTAACTATGAGTTATCTATTATAAATATCTTGTTTACACTAAATGACTTGGTCGAAGAGCAATAAAAGTATATTAAATTTGTTGAACTTGCGCAAAACAGATTCAATTCACTTTAAAAACGTGTTATCGTTAAATATTTTTCTTAGTATTTTCTGTTTAAAGGAAATTTTAAATAAATAATTATAAAACATTATTTTACATTAAATTATTCATCAAATATTACTATCTATAAATTTTTAGTGAAAAAGTCCAAAGTTTTATGATCAACTGAAAAATATTTTGCCAAGTTTAAATTAACTACGCCTAAAATTGTGATTATCAGCTCGATATGACGCATATTTAATTCATTTTTAGAATAAATATTTTTTATTTGTTGCTGAACCGTATTGAAGATAAATTAGAATTAATTTCACGAAAAATTGTATTTTTTTATTAACGGGTTAATGATTTTGAATAGACTATCGAGTAGAACACAAATAAAAGTTGTGAATAAAATTATATTTTAAATTCTAAACTTGCTTTGAATTGTGAAAAATAATAAGTATAGTCTTACGGTTTCTCGGACGTATTTCTCAGAATAACCAATTAAAAAATTGCTTATTATGTATGTTTTTTCTATTGTAATTAAAGGGAAATGACTACCGACCGAAAAAAAAGGCGAGACTTTAATTCATTCAGTAGATAAACGTCCGGTTTACTTTTAACCAAATGCGTTTCATTTGCAAAATAAAAAAATATCTTAGTATCCATCATCTACATACTTGGATAAGCACACATTATTATAAGTATCATTATTGCAGCTTTATACGTTGTATTTAGAATTCACTAAACTTCAGCAAATCAGCATTGGAGTTAAGCACGCGAGATGTGGTGTTTGTGATACGAAGTACATGTTTTCCGTTAACAAGTTGTTCCACAATGTGACTCTTATTACCCCTTTGGAGGCGGAGAAAAACAACCAACGATTATAATGCCCGTACACATTTACACATCGTTTCCATAATATTTTACACATAAACTGTGGGGTATACTATGCATAATTGTTCTAACACGCTGAATACACGTGTACAAAGCGTTGTGTTGAAGTAAATGTACAATGCGACAAATAGATATTTGATACAATCAAATCTCCATCGAATATTGTAATCTGCCGAAGCAATCAAAAGGACGTAACAAGTGTCATCCGAGTATCAAAACAAAAAGCGTTAATATTTTATCTTAAATGCTTTACGTCTAATCAGAGACTTACTATTTATTGCAACGCTGCTATTTTGTGTGATGGGCTAATCAAATGTGTTCTTAACGCTATCGAACAATGTCCAGCCGAAACCTTTTGTTTTCTGGGTAACGTGAAATTAATTATTTTTCTTCGGCCATAAACTTGTCAGTAGAAAAAACAGCTGAAATCGTACGCAACCGATATCACAATAATAGTTGAAAGGGCTCGAGTTTTTGTGACTTCTTTACATAAAATGTGAATCAAAACGTGTCATCCGTCCAAGAAAATGATACGAAACAGATAGTATTGCTGTACGCGTTAAAGCGAGAATCGGAGAAGCCCCAGAAGAATCGCCACTATGTGTACCAAGTGAAGAAGGTTACACGCTTGTTGAATAAAAAAACGGAAGACTTTATTGCCCGTGAAACATCCGTACGTACTACGTATCGTCGGATCTTTGAAAGTCAGAAACCTCAAAAGACCAATATTATAAGTCGTCTTGATTATACCAACACATCTACGATGTTATTACCGTCTGGTATCATAGTAATCATATTATTATATTATTGCATTACTTATATTTTCAACGTTAAAGGTTCTAAATTACACACCGCTACCGCCGGAACTTCTTTTAAAGTATACACTTCACAGTCGTAAACACTTCAAACCGGTTGCTTAATATGATTCCCACAATAAAATGCAATGGTGTGTTTATTATAATACTTTCTAGTTAAAATCATATAATTTTTTAACCGCATGTAAATTTAATTTAAAAGTTAATCAGTAAGAAAATTCTAGTATTTTTATACAGTTATACACACGATTATACATATCATAATTATGTTTGGCAGTCATAGAAACATTTATTTTTAACACAACGTATTAAAAATGTAAATATATATAAATCAAATGCTCTTTCAAAATCCATAACGAGAAAATTTTACAAATTAAAAAAAAATTTTACTGAAAAGTATTACTCGCTATTTTTTTAATGCAGTACAATTTTATAATTTATCGATTAACCTTCATATAACTGCATCTAATAGTTATATTTAATAATTTATTAAAAAAGTAGTAAAATGTCATTAATTATAGTAAACTACACCTTCAACTTAATTATAATGCAGTATGTTGCAAGAAAACATCTACTTTATTCACGGTTTGTATAATGACTATTATTACAGTTGCAATGAACTCATTTATACCAAATGATACTCGTTAACCATGTTTACAACTTTATATTCTTAATACTCGAGCATTAGGAAGTTAGCAAAAAATATATTAATATGATTACTAACACAGAAGATGTTAATTTATACTAAATTGTAACCGTTGACAGCGGATAACGTCCGATTGTATAGAAAAGACATTTTGAGTCGACACATTTATTTTTGAATACATTAAAACGCCAAAAGAAAATTATAAATATGTCAACTTGATATATTACTGGTTCATAGCATTTTTTTTTTTTAACGTTTATCTGAAAAATGAAAAATATATTGACATTTGGTGAGAAAATAGATTAATAATGGTAAATGGATGTGAAAAGTTTTTCGACCGATACATTTAACGAACATTATTTCTATTCAATACCTGAAATAACACGAATTTATTCATTGTTTGTTCATCACTGACCATCAGTACTATGTTTTATACTTGTAACATATCGCATGCCAACTATTCAATCGTTATCAACACAGCTAGTCTTTATGTTATTCTGGGCAAGAGGGTAGACAAATGTGGGGTAGCTGAACCAAAGGGGAATGTATAGAATAGCCAACGAAAAACGATCCTCATAGACGGTTATTGAGCCCTATAAAACTACATTGTGATGGGTCAATGCTGATACTACAGAAGCGGTCGAGAGAGAAAAATAAATGAGCACGGGTCACAAACATTTTCATTCATTAATGCCGGGAACAGATGTTAAATAGAACGTAAGGGGAAAATGTCGAGAAAAAATACCTTTGACGTCGCCGAAAGATATTTGATCAAAATCATGGTCAAGAACCCAAAGACGGCATAATGACCTTTGATTTGAATCGCTGAACTTTGTAGGTATAACCGATTGAAATCATAAGAGTTATTTCTATACAATGATGGAGCAAATTGGATGTGGGTACACAATAACATAATAACGTCACATATTAAATAATACGTCAAGATCCAAACAAGAGATAGAAAAATGCCATAAAGGGTTTTTTTTCCAAAAGTCGACTCTAATCAACCATGTTCTGCGAACAAAATGATTTTGAAGTCAAATCCAATTTATTTAAGAGACGAAAAAAGTTACTTTACACAATAATAGTTGAAGTGATACTATTATCTTTATTATACATTTATTTTTTCATTTAAATCATCATAATTATCTTAAGTTAGCCTGAAATATTGATAAATTAAAATTATTTTTGTGTATGTACATTTTATTCAAACTATGAAATATTCATTGTACTCTCCAAATGTTTACAATTAATAAAAATGCACTCGTGTAAATTCCTTTATACTCATACAAAGTTATCACAGCTATTTGTTTATTTGTAAAAGATCATGTAATGTCAAGTTCATGGAAAACAATTGCCTATAATACTGTGAACAACTAAATAATCAAAATTTTCCTGAAATTGATTTCCCAATCTATTCATATTTGTTTTCTTGGTCTTATCAATGACCTCTAAAATGCATCTACTACTGCCATATCTTCTTCAACTTTAATGCATTCTGTTCATCTACAAACTTAAATAAGTTATAATATTTGTGGTGACATAATTTACACTCAATTAAGATATACACTTCGTATCCACTATCTAATTTTATGGTAAAAAGTATACTCCAGAAGTACATTTTAATGATAAATACTAAACGTGCAACTTTAAAAATAAAATAATAGTAGAAAAAAAGAAAATCCACTTGTCCAATGTCGTAACTATTCGCTGTCAAATGTCAACACTATGCCGTCTATGTTGACGTCACTAAAATTGATCATCAAATTTTGGATTTTTTTCCGTGTCAAACCCGTTTGATCACTTCTGTATTGTGCGTCTGAATACATAAAATATTCCTAGCTCTACGTTTTCTTTTTATTTTTTTCTAACTTGTATATTCAATTATTGTTGATATTCAATAGGTTCATTGTCACGGCTTTGTACATGAACGACAATTTCAATCTGATAAGTGTACGTAGCTTTTCAACTAATAAGCTTACAATAACAATACATTTAATAACTGTTATTACAATAATCATTGTAAAACTTCTGACCGATAGATAACTAATGTGACAGTTACGTCGGAGATAAGATATGAATGTGAACTTAATGTGTCAATAATTAACTCATTAAACGACCTGAGAAAAGAAAGGCTGGTGGTGTTCAAGTTAAAAAAAAATGCTACTTTGCAAAATAACTTTCAAAATAATATTACGTTTGCTATCAAACGTCGATGTTTACCGTTTGAAGTTCTCGGGATTGTCTAGATCACTCCGCATTATTACCTTAATAGTTTTTTTTCTTATCAACGAATCCAATGATTAATGTTTTCGTGAATTTCTGTAATAAGTTAACACTACGCGTGTTAATGTCGGTGGCCTACATAAGGCAATAATTTTATCTCGATTGGCCTATTTCTACTGAATCGCCGGACGTATACATTGTGATGACGAAGCGCTGTTTTGGTCGGATTATATTTTTTAATCTACAATTAGTAACCAACTCTCTATTTTTCTAAGTCGCTTCTACAATTGCATTATTGTTATTATTTGTTGTTTTTTTTTTTTATCGTGTGATAGTGTTATAATATTATTATTTTATGCATACGTGGGCGACCCTCTAACTAAGCGCTGATCAAACGGCACGCTGCCGATAACGCGTTTACTATTTTACTACGAGAAAACCAAACAAGCGCTGCGCAATAACGCCGTATAATAAGCGGCGTAGGCGGAACTCTACGATCTTTATTACAGTCGTCCCTCGTTATTACTGTTATACAAACACACTCGCACATATATTATAAATACTGTGTAATACATTGTCCTGGAAAATAGATAACGTCTTTAAATCCGGACGCTAAATCATAAAATCTATGGTTAATTTATTGCGAAATAAGAAAATACATTAATGTCGCGCTCAAAATGGCTATTCGACACAAGGGCAAAGTTATTAGCTATTGTATGCAAGTGAAAAGTACATCTTAGTATTGTGGTCTGAGTATAATGACTATAAAATCTTTATTAATTGACTATTGTATAATTTAGAAGATTAAATAATACAAATAATTGTACTTTCAGCTATCAATTATAGCCTTGACTTACATTTATCTATGTAACTGTACTAATGTTTTATGAGAAGTTGTGAAAATGCATCTCACGAAATTTCAAGATCAAATTAATCACATTTGCTGAGTAAAATATTCGATATTATGGGTGTTAGATTTTTGTTTATAAAATAGAGAATTTTGTTACGGGGTTTAAAAATTACTTTTGATAATAAATTGGTAGCTTTACTAACGAGTATTAAATACTAGAAAAACATTTTAATATTTTCAATTTTAAGTAATATTCAAAAGTTATAAATGATTTTGTGATTTAGTATTATATATTATTCTGAAATCTCATTCCCAAAAGCTCATCATTAAGAACCTCTAAAATGAATAATAGTAATTATATTTTATTTGACTGTTTAATATGTTTATACAATAAAACCATGTTTGTAAAAATAATTCATTTATCTGTGTGCATTTTATTACTGCAATTTTAACTATAAAACTTTATTTTAATTTAATGATGCATGTTTAATTAAATCATTAAATTTATGTGTTGTGATGTTTTATTATAGTTTGTTGTGCTTAATATATTATAATTATATGATTTACATATTAATCATTTTTTTATCAAGCTTTTATATAAGTGGATTAAAGTATCGTATTTACTTACATTTTTAATAGCTTGTTTGTAAATAACAAATTTGAAAAATCAATCTTTAATATCATTATCATCCTCTTTGCGAAACTTAAATAGTATTATTTTTGCTATGATGTGTTCTTTTTTGGGTTTTCGTGAACACCAATGTTTAGTACCTGCTTGATCGATTTTGCTTAATCATACATCAGAAG